CTCTTTTGTCTTACACTCCACTTTAGTATATCTTATCCCCCATGTTTTCCCTTTGTGTGTCTCTTTCATGCCTCAAGCCCCTTTTGTGTGTCTCTTTCTACCCCAGCCCCTTTGTGTGTCTCTTTCTCCCACCAGACCCTTTGTGTGTCCCTTTCTACCCCAGCCACTTTGTGTTTTTTTTTCTCCCCCTAGCTCCTTTGTGTGTCTCTTTCTCCCTTCATCCCCTTTGTGCGTCTTTTTCCCATTACCAGTCCCTCTGTGTGTCACTCCACCCCCCCAGCCCTTGTGGGTGTCTCCCCCAGCCCTTGTCTGCTCTCTTTTGCCACTTCACCAGACCTTCTGTGTCTCTTTGTGCCCCCCAGCCTCATTCACGTGTCTCCCCCAGGCCCCTTTCTGAATCTATTGCCTCTCCCCAGCCCCTCTGTTTCTCTTTGTATGTCCCCTGCCCCTCTGGGTGTCACCCCTCAATCCCTTGTCTGCCACCATTGCCCCTTCCCTAGCCCCTATGTGGCTCTTTGTCACTCCCCAGCCCTCTGTGTATCTCTTTCTGTCCCCAGCCTCGTTTTTGTGTCTCTTTCTCCCCCAACCCCTTAATGTCACAATGTTTCCCCCCAGCTCGCCCATTTGTCTCACCCCCCCAGCTCCACAGGCCCTTAAGGTAAGTTTAGTGCCAGACAAGCGCGATGGGATTCGGTTAAAGCAGGCAAGGCAAGAGTTATGTGGAGGAGCTCTCCCAAAACATGTCTGGCTGTCATGCAGTTTAGGCCTTGCCCCTGACCTCCTGAACATTAGTGTTGAATTTGTTATATCCTAGCAGAAATTGTGAAATTTTGGCATTGATTTTGAAACTATGACTGATCATGCAAAAAAAATTATTTTATTGAAGGATAGTGATCATATGAAGCCATTTACTATCACATAGATGTTTGGCTCATTTTTAAATCAAGGTGACACACACAGGTTAAAATGGCTATTAAAGGTTAATTTCCCACACATGTGGCTATTTAAATTGCAATTAGTGTCTGTGTATAAATAGTCAGTGAGCAGGCTAGATACTGAACCATGGGGAGTAGAAAGGAACTGTGAAAAGATCTGCATATCAAGGTAATGAAACTTTATAAAGATAGAAAATGATTACAAAGTTATTCTAAACCTTGAAAATGCCAGTCAGTTCTGTTCAATTACTTATTAAGAAGCGGACAATTTGGGGATCTCTTGATACCAAGCAAAGGTCAGGTAGACCAAGAAAGGTTTCAGCTACAATTCCAGAAGAGTTGTTCAGGATACAAAGAAAAACCCACAGGTAACCTCAGGAGAAATACAGGCTGCTCTGGAAAAAGAAGTTTGTGGTTGTTTCAAGGAGCACAATATGACGATACTTGAGCTGCATGGTAGAGTTGCCTGAAAGAAGCCTTTACTGCGCCAATGCCACAATAAAGCCCAGTCAAAATTGCCCAACAACACCTTGATACTCCTCACACCTTCTGCCACATTGTAATTTGGAGTGAAGAGACCAAAATAGAGCTGTATGATCACAACCATAAGCGCTATATTTGGAGAGGGATCAACAGGGCCTATTGGGAAAATAATACCATCCCCACTGTGAGGCATGGTGCTGGCTCACTGATGGTTTTTTTGGGGGGAGGGGTATGAACTATAAAGGTACAGCGAGTCTTGTGAAAATTGACGGCAAGATGAATGCAGCATGTTATCAGAAAATAGTGGAAGCCAATTTGCATTCTTCTGCACGAAGGCTGCGCTTGGGACACGCTTGGGCTTTCCAGTATGACAATGACATTAAGTACAAGACCAAGCTGACCCTCCAGTGGTAACAGCAGAAAAAGTTGAAGGTTCTGAAGTGGCCATCACAGTCTCCTGACCATAATATCATCGAATCACTCAGGAACGATATCAAACATGCAAGACGACCAAAGACTTTGCATGACCTGGAGGCATTTTGTCAAGACGAATGGGCAGCTATACCACCTGCAAGAATTAGGGACCTCATAGAGAACTATTACACAAGACTGTACGCTGCCATTGATGCTAAAGGAGCAATACACAGTATTAAGAACTAAGGCTATGCATACTTTTGAACAGGGGGTCATTTCATTTTTTTCTTTGTTGCCATGTTTTGTTTTATGATTGTACGATTCTGTTATAACCTACAGTTGAATATTGTTATTATTTATATAGCGCCATCAAATTCCGTAGCGCTTTACCCTGGGTGGAAGAACAGACATGTAGTTGTAACTAGACAAGATAGACACACAGGAATAGAGGGGTTGGGGGCCCTGCTCAATGAGCTTACATGCTCTATAGAGGGAGTGGGGTAAAGTGACACAAAAGGTAAGGATAGTATTAGACTAATGACAGTTGCAAGAGAGGAATCAGTCGGGAGCTATTAACAATTTAATCGATACGCTTTTATGAAAAAGTGGGTTTTTAATGATTTTTTTGAAGGAGTGGAGACTGGGTGAGCATCTAACTGAGGAGGATAGTGAGTTCCACAGGAACGGTGCAGCCCTCGAGAAGTCTTGAAGGTGAGCATCCAAGGTGGGAGTATGGACAGAAGATAGACGTAAGTCTTCAGCAGATAAAATAAGGTGCTTATCTACTTTACTCTGTATTGTATATCAGTCATAAATTACATTGTATGTGTGGTTATGATAATTGTTTTTCTTTCAAAATCGAAAATATGTATTTATTTATTAGAATGTAAACCGCATATCCATAACAACTTGGCAACAATTGTTGTGCAATAAATAATACAGGTTGTAACAAAAACAGGCTACACTGGTCCCCAGCTAGCTGGACACGTCTACGGCATCTCCAGAGGAACAAGAGATCATCAGCACAATTTTTTAGGATAAGGTCTTGCCCTCTATTCGCTGAACAAGCAGATATCACAATTTCTGGGTGCTCCTGACATCATCCTTACAAAAATGCTTGTGACTCACAGGCCCACACGATTCAGCTTTCAGAACACAGACCAAAGACAAATTCAACACTAATGTTCAGGAGGGCAGGAGGAGGGCCTAAACTGCATGACAGTCAGACATGTTTTGGGAGAGCTCCTCCACATAGCTCTTGCCTGCTTTAACCGAATCCCATCGCTCTTATCCGGGACTAAACTTAAGGGCCTGTGAAGCTGATGAAAGTGCTCTAGAGTGCTCCATGGCGGGCCTGCCAATGCAATCCCAGGAGGATCCAGTGGGGCTCAGTGCTTCAACCGGATCGGGAAATGCGGGCGATCTCCCGCTTCACGTGGTTGCATATCCTCGCTGAAGAACCACGCTGCCCTTTTACCCTCCACTGGACCAGTGGGAGTTATCCTGGACCCCACTGACCGGTTTTACTTATCTTCGATCCTGAGGCCGATTGCAGAGCATACCTTGCACAGCCGACTTCCACAAGATGGTGGATGTGTATTTCTCTCAGGGGCCTACCTGTCTGCAGTCCAAAGTTGCCTATCTTGATCCAATAAAGCAGTCTTTAAAGAGACTGGAAGAGTTGTTCTCTCACTTCTGGGACACCCTGGAACAACGCACCTCAGCACCTATCCCTGGAGGGGGAAACAGGAGACGAGAGAGGTGAATGAGGATCCTTTGGGTGTCACCTTGCTCTGACTACCTGTCACTTTCAAGGCTCATATCCTAGGCCGAAGGCAATCAGGGGATTTACACAGAAGCATCAACCACGCAGGCGGAAGATTGTCCGCCACAGGCAGCAAAGGTCCACCAAAATCTTCTGTTATTCCCACAACAGTTAAGACAAGGATTTTCGGAGTCCCCAAGTCTGTTGCCTTAAGATGCGGGCCTCCATACAGACCTAGGGCTGGAAGGCTGTCTCTCCATGCCTCCCCACTACACTGCTTTCGCGACCTCCGTGCATCGTCAAAGCGTTTTCATACATTGGGCATTGGCTGACTGTGCTACTGTTCATCTGGGTAGCCCTGTTACATTTACTTATGCCGAGTAAATACTTTCTAATGATGGACACCATCCTGCTTCTCTCTGGTCCCCTAGCCCTTATTTGATAAGATGCTAATATTGTGTTCCTATCCCTCTGTATTTCCCTTACTTTCATATTGTTTGCCTGGAATTGCCTAGTCAAGCCACACAGTGGTATTTGACTTGTGTATTTTTATATAGGTTCCATGTTCAGGCCGGAAGCTGTGTGGGGGGTGGATATAAAACACCTCATAAGCTGCTCCCTGCTTCACACAGCGTGACTATGTTGAGACTGGGCTGTCAGCTCCGGTCACTGAGAACCCATGGCAAGGCTTGCTGCGTTTTCCCATTGGACCACCAGGAATCATGAATTCCTATCTCCCACCACTTTCTGTAACCCCCAAAGAGACACTAGCTACAGCGCTTATCCCTCAATGACTACCTTTACCCACCACTACAGCATGTAGCTAGCTATACTGGGCTTAGGGGAGATATATAAATACAAATAATAATAGACAAAGCAGCAGGGTCAAGAAATGGCTTTTTAAGTCTGGGTGTGATCAATGCGTGTTTGAAGGACAATGCTGACCTTACAATGTCTCATATTTATTTCATTGTGTTGAAATTTAAATGAAATTTCATTACAGTTAAAAGGAGATTTTCATAAATAATCTGTGGACATGAGGTGTTTACGCTGTTCATGGCTATTAACTAAAGTGAGAATTGAAAGTGAATTTCAGATTTAAGGCCAGAATAGCTGAACTGAAAGCATAGCTGATTTTAAGATATTTTTTTTTGCAAATCTGACATTTTGACCTTCAATTTTAAATTCCTTTTTATTGAATAACCCTGTATGGGCTACACTTCCCAGCATGCACAGCCAGGCATCATGTAAAGTGTGGGTGGCACACAGCTGAGGGGAAATCATTGTAAGGAGATTTATATAGAAAATCGGATTTAAAAAGAAAGTTGCCATGGTTTCTGCTGCACTGCCCCTAACACACATTACCCCCCCACCCCCCAGCTATTCTTTTCCTGCGTCATCAACTCGCGCCGGAGCGGTGGCGGAAGTGACGTCACGAGGCCGGTGCGCTGTCTGGAACGTGGCTAGTTCCTGTTGCAATGGGTGCAGTGTGATGGTGGTGTGGGCATTTCAGGCTCTCCTCTGCCGGTTACCCAGAGTTCTACATCCTGCACAGTTTCACCTTGCAGCTTTGAGAATGGGCAAGAACCACGTGCCGGAAAGGTGAGTGAGCAGAGCTGGGAGGGTCCAGCTGGGAGGGGGGTATTTGTATTACTGGCATTGTGGGGTAGATTTCAATAATACAAAGGCAGGCTGACCGAGTATCTGGTGAGGTTGGAGAGCAAGAGCACATGTAGGGTGAATGAGCCACCGTGGGCAGCCAATCATGGCCCAAAAGTGAGGGCTGTCTGTACTGCTTGAAGCTGCCCTCTATCTGAATGACATTATCATGCTCATTTAAAATGCTTAACTCTTTCATTAGCCACCATGTGGAAATTAATTTAATATTCTGACCAGGTGCTAGTCCTCACCTGGAGAATAAATACAGCTTCCCAAAGGGAGTCTAGGGAATCGCTCTGTGTTGTGGTAATATAAAATAATGTTCTCCCTCACTCAATTGGATTAGTAGTCCTGGGTCTTTGATGGCCCACAAGCTACGTAGAAACGGTGGATGTTTACAGTTGGCAAAACCTCATTTGCCTTTCATTGTTACTTCAGAGTCATAGTGGGCAAAGATTGATTGTGTGCCCTGTGTTATTCTGATGCTGTAATATGTGTGTACACAGCTACCTACTATTTCTGCATACATACAATTGCCTCCATGAAAACAAAACTTATATCAGACCTGATTTTTTTTTTTTTTTTTAAATGTATTTATTTTTGTTAGATACATAATCCTTGCTATTATTATTTTCTTTATTTACTTGGGTATTCGCTAGTGGTCAGGGTAGGATTTGACCAATTATCAATAAATGTTAAAGGCAATATCTAATCTAAGTTTTCCCAAACAGGCAAGACTGAAATAATATTCGATAGAACCTTTTTTTAAAAAGGCCTTGCAAGAGAGCCTTGAGTTATATAGTGTCAAACTACTAGAGTATTGCAGTTTGCAATTATACCTTTTTAACTAACATACACTCTGGTATTTTGTCTACTGGACTATCTTAATCCCCAAAAATTATTTATATATATATATATATATATATATATATATATATATATATATATATATATATATCTCTATCACACTGTTTTGCCATTATTAAAACGGCTGTGAAAAAAAGGTACATATATTATTAACCCCTTAGGACAGCGGGCGTGCTATGCTGTCCTTGGGGTCCCGACTCGTAAATCAAAATGCGGGCTGGCGGCATAGCACGTCCCCGTTATCCTAGGGACTTACCTGCTCACCAGCGACTGCAATGGGGGGACTTGCCTGTCATCTCATGCAGTCCCCCTGCTGCTGATCTGGTCAATTAGGTAATTTTATTATTACAATTTGTGGTACCTGTGTGATAACTCAGGCAGAAAGTCCAGGTAATTTAATTTGCTAGCACTATATATAACCCTCTAACTTCCAAGACACTGTAAAACCTGTACATGGGGGGTACTGTTTTACTCGGGATACTTTGCTGGACACAAATATTAGTGTTTCAAAACAGTAAAATGTATTAAAACGATATCATTGGTGAAAGTGACATTTTTTGCATTTGTCACACATAAATGGCACTTACACTGACAATCTAATTGTTGTGATATGTTTTACTGTTTTTAAACCGTAATATTTGTGTTCGGCGAAGTCTCCCGAGTATAACATTACCCCTCATGTACAGGTTTTATGGTGTTTTCAAAAGTTAGTTAAATATAAGGCTTGCGTTTCAGTTTTTTCACTTTGAAATTCGCCAGATTGGTTACGTTGCCTTTGAGACCGTATGCCCAGTAATGATAATTACCCCCATGATGGGATACCATTTGCAATAGTAGACAACCCAAGGTATTGACAAAATACCAAAAAGGCAATCTACAACACAAAAATAATAGAGACGGACATAGGACAATAACGTTGTGCAATGTGAGTTATAAAGGTAAATAATCACACTCACAAACCCAATTTGACTGAAGGCATATCATGAGTAACGATGCATTAACTTCAGAACTTGTGGAACATCAATAGTGTGCATAGGAGGAAGAAATATAATAGTGCAGAGTATCTCAATAAAAATGACACAGTTTATTACAAGATACACTTACAAAACAGAAGTATCAAATGGGCACGTTAAACTCTGCTGGAACTACATCCCGGTCACAGGATCAAAACAGCAGGAAAGCCAAATACAATATACTTGAATACATAAAAATTTAAAACAAATACTCTGTACATAAAAAAGCCCTACGTGTTTCGTTCAGAAAAGAACTTCCTCCGGGTAATAAATTGTGTCATTTTTATTGAGATACTCAATGCCTTTTTGGTATTTTGTCAATATTGTTTTGAGGACATAAGAGGAGTCCTTTTCATCTTCAACACTATTAAGGGTAATTTTTGTGTGTTTTTTCACTTATTACCCACTAAGTGTGTGTTCTACCTGCACACAGGTGTATTTGTATTTATTGCAACCCAAGGTATTGCAAATGGGGTATGTCCAGACTCTTTTAGATGCTAATTGGTCACAAACACTGGCCAAAATTGGCGTTCAAATACGTTTTTTTGCATTTTTCACACACACAAATATTAATGCTAACTTTGGCCAATGTTTGTGACCAAGTGCCTACTAAACAAGACTGGACATAACACATTTGCAATACCTTGGGTTATCTACTATTGCAGATGGTATGCTATCATGGGGGTAATTCTCATTCCTGGGTTACCATACGGTCTCAAAGGCAACATAACCAATCTGGGAAATTTCAATGTGAAAAATGTAACATGCTGTATTTGACCCTGTAATTTCCCAAAACAGCATAAAACCTGTACATAGGGTGTACTGTTATACACGTGAGATATTGCTGAATACAAGTGTCTTTTATTGCAGTAAAAGCAAACAGTATTATGACACTCACCGTTAAAATGTCACGTAGAACTAAAAAAAATAAAAAAAATTTTTTTTTAAATATTCATATTAAATTTGTTTCATATCTAAATATTTGATGTTAAATGAAAGCCTTGTTTCCCCTGAATAAAATAAGTGTGGGTGCACTTAATATGGAAGAGGTGAATTACGGTTGAACAGACATATAGTCAGATTCCAGGTTTTATTTTGACCGCGACGTGTACATTTGGCTCAGTCCTTAAGGGGTTAATGCCGTTTATGTTCTGTTGAACTGTTCGTAGAATGCATTTTACTGGAAACTATACTTATCACTGGCTGTAAACCAGTATGTGAAATTAAGATTGCGCTATAACAGCGTTCAGTCAAATGTTGATCAGTAAACACTCTATAATGCCAAAGTTGCCTAATACTGCTCATGTGACATTTGCAAGAAATATATAAAACCGGAAGGAAAGTATTGTAGTGTGCACATATACTTGCAGACAAGGTAACATTTTAAATTTTTGTAGATGGACTGATTATATTCCAGTTGGCAAACGTATCCCAGGAACACGGTTTGTTGCTTTTAAAGTTCCTTTAAAAAAGGTGAGTAATATTATATTGTTTTCCCCTGTAGAAAATAATTCTCTTGATGGATTTTGTGTTTATTTTGTATACGCTTGCTTATTTCTAGCATGTCTTTGGGTTTTTCCCCGTAGCTCTATGAGAACAAACTTTCATCAAAGCAACAGTTTTCCACATCAGACCTTATTGAAGAAATTAAAAGACAGAACGAGGAACTTGGACTAATCGTGGATTTGACATGTACGACAAGGTACTACAGGCCAGAGGTATGTTGTGAGCCATTTGACAATTTACAAGCACATTCTTGACTTTAATCGGCTTTGTAACACTGCAGATGTCAGTGTAATTTATTTTATGTACATATATTTGCAGGAGTTGCCCAAATCACTCCGTTACACAAAACTGTTTACAGCTGGCCATGAAGTACCAAGTGATGATGTTATTTATCAGTTCAAATGTATTGTGGATAAGTTTCTAAGTGAGAACTCTGAAAATGGTAAGTTGGATACTGCGGGTTGAGACATTGTCTGTAGCAGGAAATTTGACTCCCACCTTTTTGCTAGACCCCTGTTTTTGATGATTGGGGGGAGGGTGGTTTAGTTTTCGTAGTTTCTGTACAACCTTGAAACTGGTATGATACTAACAGCATAGTTTCCATAGTTTTTTGTTTTGGTTTTTCTGTTGTGTTTTTTGACCATTTAAATTTCACTTTATAGAAATTCCACCAGTGATTTCCTTTTTTAATCTGGTGACCCTCAAACATTGTTTACAATCTATACCCATTCCCTGATAGTTCCCATTTAAAGGATCACTATAGTGTCAGGAAAACATAGTGGTTTTCCTGACACTATAGTGCCCTGAGGGTGCCCCTCCCTCCTTCAGCAGCTTACCTTAATCCAGCGCTCCCTCTGCGCTGGTAACGTCTCCTCCCCTGCCGAAGACAGCTCCCGCATCCAACGTCAATGCTTCCTATGGACGCTCTGCGCGATCGAGGCAAACTGTGACTCTAGTGGCTGTCCAGAAGACAGCCTCAAGAGGCTGGATTAACCCCAAATGTAAAAATAGCAGTTTCTCTGAAACTGCTTTGTTTGCATCTGAATGGTTAAAACCCGAGGGACCTGGCACCCAGACCACTTTATTGAGCTGAACTTTTAAGATCATTTAGAACAATCATCACAAACCTGGGCCCACCATATGCGATCCCTGTTTTAGAAGGCAATATATCTAAATTTTTTTTTTTTTTTTTTTAATGGAAATTTTTCACGTCTAAAAGAGTTTTGTTTTTATCTTTATCTTTGCTCATACAGACAAACTTATTGGTGTTCATTGCACACATGGATTGAATCGGACTGGCTACTTGGTGTGTAGGTGAGTTTAAAGACCGTTAATTCAAAGTAATGTAAAGATTTCATTAAAAGGCTTTGTAACCACTGAGCGCTGTGCTGGTTACGATGCCAGAAATTCACTGGCGTGGTTCCACTGTTAAGAGTCAAGTTGGTTTTTGTATAGTTTGACACTTACTTAGGTCCTACCAGACCCCTGCAGTTCAGCTTCTTTTGAGATTGCTTAAAGCAGAAGTTCCGCTTCCTCTTTATCAATATGAATTTTGTCCATCTTTGGCAGCCTCAAGGTGTTTGTTTATTTTTGTATAATAAACTTTGCAAACCTGGATTTGGGTAGAATCTAGAGATCGACCGATATCGGTTTTACCGATTATTATCGGCCGATATTCTGTATTTTCAGCACTATCGTTATCGGCCAATAAAGATACAGATATTGCCGATAATGCATACCAGGCCCGCCGTGCCCATTACAAGCCTGGCGGTCCTGGGGGGGCCCGCAGCAAGCTCTTACTTACCTTCCTAGCAGCTCCCCAGTGCGAATCTCACGAGACCCGTGGCCGCAGAGCGTTGCCACGGGTTACCATCTTACCGGTCTTGTGTTAAACTGCAACATTAAAAAAAGTGAATAAATAAGGGGCCTGAATGCACTGCTTCTTTTAAAGCAATATTTTACTATTTCTTATCTGTTGTCCATTTTTAAGGCTGGCATACCTTCCAACATTGGCCTCCCATATGCAGAGCACTCTTTGATGTTTTTTGGAAATGAGTTAAATTCCTTGAAAGCGCTTTGCTCAGAGTGAGTGAGTGATCCAATTAAGCACTTGGGTACATTTCTCTTGAGTCCTCATATGCGGAACACCAGAGAACAAGCCTGGACAAAAGCTTGAATTAGGACAGACTTGTTTTATCTAGGAATGTTGGGCAGTCCAGCCTGGAAGAATTTATAGACTATGATAAACATAGGACCGAATAGTGAAATTATGCTAATCTTGGTTACATTGTTTTATAGATATCTTATTGATGTGTTGGGAATGGTGCCTGCTGATGCAATAGAAAGTAAGTGATTTTTGTGATTTTATTTGACTCCTTGATTTGATACCAATTTCATTTTGAATAGCAACTGTGACAAAATGCAGGACTCTAGAGCATTCCTTCAGGTTTTTGCACAAAACTGATTGACAAGGAAATTGCATATTTAAATATTAACTCTCCTTAATTCTTGCTATAGTAATTTTACCAGAATGAGTGACTTTGCTTTGTTCGATTACATGAAATAATTTTTAGTAACCTGTATCTTTGTCACGTAATTCTACTCTCTATGTCTGTATACGTATCACATAACTGACCAGACCAGCAAAAATCAGCCTTGTTGCTTTTTAAAACATGTAAAGTAACTGATTTCCAGAACATACACATCCATGAGAAAGACACCACCATAAGGAAACACAACCATTAAAGGGACACTATAAGCATCAGAACAACTTTAGCGTAATGCAGTGTTGTTAATGTTTAGATCAGGCTTCCCCAAACTCCGGCTCTCCAGATGTTGCTGAACTACAACTCCCATGATTCTTATCCAATTTATTTCATTCAGAGAATCATGGGAGTTGTAGCTCAACAACATCTGGAGGGCCAGAGTTTGGGGAAGCCTGGTTTACACCATGTCTCTGTAGTCTCACTGCCCAGTTCTGCCACTTAGGGGTTAAATCTCTTTTTTGTTTCTTAAGCACACCTCCCCTGACTGACAGGCTGCATGAAAAAGAGATTGTATCATTTTTCAATCAGATGTTAACTTGCTTTAGATGTATTTATCTCATACTCTGATTGAACTTTAATCACACACAGGAGACTCTAGCAGGCTTTTAAATGGACCCTATAGGGACTACAGCTTAATGTAATTGTTCTGGTAAGTATAATCTTTCCCTGCAGATATTTTCATGTAAACAAAGAAAAGGCAGTGTTTACATTGCTCCTCAGGGACTGCAGGGGGATGATCTATACACCAAAACTACTTGCTACCACGGACAGCCTTGGTTCTCCTTTCCTGTAATGCTTTGCACTATTTATTCAAAGTTGATATAGGCTTATTCCCATTGTGTTTCTAATCATTTGGTTGTGTACTTTTTACAGAATGGTTCTATTTTTTGTTATTCATCCCCAAGCTTATTTGATGCTTTTATTAAAATTATCTGCTAATTTGTAACCCATTTATTTATTTTATTTTTCATTCTATTTTTGTAGAATTTAACAGAAGCCGCGGTCATTGCATGGAACGCAAAAATTACCTTGACGACCTGATGTATGGGAAAATGAGAAGGTACGTAAATAGCATTTGGTTGCTGTCCGCTAGGCATCTGGTAAAATCCGCACAACAAACTAGTTAATTTCCCACTGAAGTCAGTGTTTTGTTATTTGAGATTGCCTTCCTACAGAGGCAATTGTGGGAAACTAAGTAGTTTTGCATACATCTGGTAATGTGGAATTTATATTGCCCGACACCTGGGACATGCACTTCCAGGCAAGCTGTTTTTCTATTATTTTTTTTTTATTTTTTTAGCACTGCCGCAGACAAGCGGCAATGCTGCTAAGGGATTAATGCGGTGGAAGGACTGGAGACCGTAGCTTTGAGCCAGCTAGGGGCCGTAGTAGATCAGCTGCTCCTTACAATGCACAGAGCTTATGGCCGCCGGGATACAGAATGACATCATATCCCGGTGTCTGGCACTGCATGGAGGAAAGGAGGGGACAAGCTGACAACAGACTGCTACATGAAGGCTGCTGGTAATGTGAAAGATAGAATGGGGCTGTACAATATGTGGGTCAGGTGTAGTTTGTGTGTAAATGGGTCAGTGTTTGGGATCAACCTTTTTAATAACTGATACCGATAATCTGAACTTTCAGGCAGATAGTTTACCGATATTCTGTACATTTACTGTATATTTTATTTTTGCTCTTTATTTATTTTATTTTTTTTAAATAAAGTGGTAAATGCACAAAATATACATGCCAGTCAGATAATTTTTTTTTTTTTTTTCAAAAATATATATATACATAAGTATTAGTGTGTGTGTGTGTGTGTGTGTGTGTAAATATGTGCGGTTGTCCCATTATCTGTCTCTTGGTGCCCCCCCATTCCCCTTAATATTCCTCTCCCTTCTCTTTTAGTGGTTCCTCCCTAACCCAGTGTTCCTTTTTCCTTCCCTCCCCTGTACGTTAGTGTCCTCCCTTAATGTTCCTCTTTCACCCCCATCCCATAGTGGTCTTCACAACTCTTCCCCCCCCCTCCTGTCCCATAGTTTCCATCCCTTAGTGCTCCTCTCTCTCTCCCCTCCTTTGTCCCCGGTGTGTCTCTACTGGTAGCGTGGCCGATCGGAGCAGTGTGCACCGCGGTACAGGAACTTCAGTTTCCTGTACCCGGCCGGACTGACAGGAAGTGCTCTCTCAGTGAGCATTTCCTTTCATATTATATATGCAGGAGGGAGCACTGTGCTCCCTAAGGCGGCCGCTTGTGCCGCCTTATGGACCTGCCAGCCCACCCATTCATGATCGGTATTGCCGGTGAATATTGGCCGATACTTGCATAAAATCGGAATATCTGAACAGCCGACCAGAGCGGACGCGTTACAAGAGAGCTCCGCAACAACAAACTTGTAAAAGCACCTAAAAACGCTCTTTTTCGCAACAAAGAAACACCAACAGTATGGGGGAAGAAGTCCAGACGCCAGGGACCTGTCAAACTAGCGGGATCCCAGGATATTGGAGATCTCCTGCTCCGGCCGTCCAGGGCCCATGGCACCTTCGCGCCAAAAGAAAATGGCGACTCACTCTCCGCCTCCTCCGAAGTACGGATTATGGACGTGCTGGACGAGATCCCAGACGGAGGGGGATTTCATCACCCCTCCTCTGATGAAGACAACGAGCTGCCGTCTACTAAGGGCGACATCAAAACGCTTCTCCGCAATATCCAACAGCTATTTGCGGCAGACGTTGCGATTGTGTGCGAAGAAATACATACAGTGGAGGGACGTGTGAAAGCAGTAGAGGCAGACACACAGGGCCTCTCTTCCAGATCCCTTGCTATGGAGGCACTAACAGCAGAGCTCCAAAAAGCCCAAGCACAACTTACCACTAGAATGGACACCATGGAGAACAGGCACAGAAGCAGAAATATTAAAATCAGGGGCATTCTGGAGTCAATCACTACGGAAGAGTTACCCTACTACACCAGGAGGCTGCTGAGCACTATACTGAACCCCAAGCAGAACAAGCAAATCATGGTAGACGGGATATTCCGCATACCAAAAGCAACTAAGGCCCCAGCAGACTCATCAAGGGACGTTATTGTTCAGTTCCAGACAAGATCGGCGCAAATACTAGTAATGACAGCAGTGAGGGGAAAACTTACCTGCCCCTTCGAAAATGCTCACCTCATGTTCTTCGAAAATGCTCACCTCATGTCCAGACCAACGCTACTATGGAGAAGCCAGTTCAAACCTCTGACCACGACTCTTCGTAACCACTCCATACCATACCGCTGGGGATCTCCCAGGAGCCTAATTATACCACAAGGTGGGAAGAACTTACAACTTACCACCGCCGCAGAATCGGATGCAGCGCTCCAGGCCTTGGGAATACCACATCAGCTGGAACAAGAGGCGCAGGCTCCAGGGCGGAGAGCACCACATAACTGGGACATGGCTAAGATTGTACCGTTCCAACCATGTGGGACTCCCAGAATGGGCCAGGTCACCTCATCCCCACTGTTGACCTCCAATAGCACTGGGAGGAAGGAGCAGCACCAGCAAGGCACCTGAGATACCGACAGGAACTCACACAACCTTGTCCGACAGGAATACTCCCCTTCGCCACATCACACTTAACCGGGAACAGTATTTAAGTTTTTCAGCATGTATGCATATCCTTAGTGGAAAGCACAAGAGGACTGTGAGTAATTACATGTCATTAGTGCCCAGGGAAACTGAGGTACTAGCAATTGTTGCGCTAATCGGGCGCCTGTATCCGCAGACTCATACCAGTATATAAAAACGCTGGCCTGGCTTTTTTTATTTTATTTATTATTATTTATTAACCGTTTAAACTCCCTGGCTCATAAAATGTCAATGTCACAATGTTCGTTTGCTGCAGTTCGCAAAAGGTTAATACTCTGTCAGAAACATATATCCGGTCCTGACGTTTAGAATTTAATTTGCCTGCCTGTGATAACGAATACATCCATACAGTAGGTGAATCTATGAGTATTTAAATGGAAAGCTGACTCAATCTAAAGTGCAATGTTGTTGTGTCAGTGCAGAGGAGGGAACAACTCTAAACCATTATGGAGAGCGTAGCCCGTGGATTGTCCCTAAACATTGGTCTCCACCCTATGCACAGAGACACACAATAATAAAGTAATTAGGGTAACACAGGCTTGACAACACACACCAGATCTAAGCCACGTTAAAACCTACGAACTAATACTACAACCCCCTAAACGAAAACCTCTAAGGATAGCAAAACACTATAAGTCTCCCCCCCCTTCCTCTCCACAAATCATCTTTTTAGTTTTAAATGCAAGCAGATGTGTCGATCTGAGAGGACCACGAACAAGAGAGCAACAGGGCAGAAGGGAGAAGGCAAACCACAGCCATTACACTGCCCATCACGCATAACCTAGACACGCCACACAACCCACCCCCTCACCTCCTCCAAGCTCAGGGTTACAGAGCACCTCACCAAGCCTACAATGATAGCAACTGAATCGGCTCCACTCCAGAAGCTTAGTATAGCATATACTAGCCTGCCTATTAAGTGTTACTTTTTTTTTTTTTGTGTGTGTTTCCTTAAAGAGGTTGTGCACTGTATATACATGTCAAGCCTCACTACAACGATACATGCACTCAGAAATAAAGAATTTATAAAGGGAATGAGGGAAAAAAAAGGGAAGGTATGCATTTCATATTCCCTTGTTAAATGATTAAGAATTTCCACTAAACTAAGGCTGGCAATACATATAGCCCACATCATCCTTCGAACAGGCAAAATCCATGATAACTGCCACAAATGGCATTACAAGACAAAGCGGTTCCCTTGTTTTAATGTCCGCCATTTTACTTTTATTGTACCTCCTCGCTCTAGTTAATACCTTAAAGGCAACTTGTTTCCAGTGGCCCTAAGCCTTGTCAGCGGTCAGTACAAACCATATATATGCAGATATAGGCCTAAAAAATCTTCTATGCTACCATTTATATCTATCATACGCTAACTAACAGGTGCAGCAAGTTATTACCACTATTGTTTGAGTCTCCTAGATTAACTTGGATACCCTACAACCTGTATTATTTGCTACTGGTGGAACCGTGACATGTAACTTAGCTCCAAGGCCACAAAACTGTTTATACCAATCTTGTTATTGCTTGTGCGACCTGCCCTTAAACATGTTTTATATCTTACACTATGCATAGTGACATGATCACTTCCTTTATACTCGTATCCTAAGAATGTGCAAGTCTCATCTGTTACCTACCTTTTCACACAGAATGTTGAAGCTTGTTTGACCACATAATTTAAAAAATTTGCATGTTCCTTATACGTCATTTAATGCATTGTTTGTGTTTATGGAAGCTTGCCCATGCTAATGTGACATATTATAAGCTTGCCTGTATTCTATCATATATGCACAACCAAAATAAAAAATCGGAATATCTGACGATAATGTCAAAACCGATAATTGGTCAATCCCTAGTCAGTGTGTTTGTGTCTCTATGTGGGTATATGTGTCAGTGACTGTTGCAGTGCTTATGTCAAAAAAGTGTATGTAATCAGCATTGCATTAAAACACTTAAATTGTAGAATAACATTACTTTCAAAATACAGCCAGCAAACTCCACTCTTACAGGAGCGTCGCATACAGCCAGGGAACACCACATACACTGATAAAGGGAGAGACTGGGGGGGGGCGTAGGGTGAGACGCTCAGGGCAATTCACAAAAACATTTTTCAAAATAATTCCAAACGACAAAACTGAAGCAAATATACCCTTGTTCTAACTATAGCAAATTAAGAGAAGATTTCCAGATAAGCTATTTTTGCTTCCATTATTCCATGAAGATTTTTGTGAAAGAGTTTAGCATATAACCCAGGTAATGTTCAGTACTCTAGGCAGTGTCTCAATCTTTGTAATTGGTATTATTTTGTGTCAGGACAAGTAGAGGGGGCTACCACCTTAGTCCCTTGGAGAAGTAGATTTGTTTTAATTCCACACCCATGCATACAAAAATTTCTATATGAATATCTATAATCTTCTACGTGATGTTTGAGAAAAATGTAGTTAGTCAGTGTTTTCTGTTTTTATTTCTCTGTAACGGTCATCCAAACTTGACTGTTTCTATTTAAATGTATATGGAAAGTGCAGAATGTATACAACAATGCATAGCTCCTTTTTGTAATGTATGATTGTGGGGTTTTTTTTTTTTTTTTTTCTTCCTAAAGTAACAAGAGATTAATCAGAGGAAGCATGCCTGTAGCCAGACACCAGAATCCCTTACCAAAGAACAATGCAGCAGTTCCTGCATGCACTCTTCCTCCACGAGGTCATTTTAGACATACGAGGTAAGTCTATTGAGGTCTGTAGTTATCTAGCGGGAAAGAGAACTCTAGGCTGGTTATTAGGGGGAGGGCAGGGGGAGGTTTTTTTTTTTTTGTTTGTTTTGTTTTTTTTGTCAGTGGCTGCAGTAGTGTAGAATTACCTGAATTGTCTTTCATTGTGTTCTTGATTAGATAATGTTTTGTTTTTTTCCTTCTTCACAAAGTAACAAGAAATTAAGTAGAGGAAGCATGCCTGTAGCCAGACACCAGAATCCCTTGCCAAAGAACAATGCAGCGGTTCCTGCATGCACTCTTCCTTCACGAGGTCATTTTAGACATATGAGGTAAGTCTATTGAGGTCTGTAGTTATCTAGCGGGAAAGAGAACTCTAGGCTGGTTATTAGGGGGAGGGCAGGGGGAGGTTTTTTTTTTTTTGTTTGTTTTGTTTTTTTTGTCAGTGGCTGCAGTAGTGTAGAATTACCTGAATTGTCTTTCATTGTGTTCTTGATTAGATAATGTATTTGTTTTTTGTTTTCCTTCTTCCCAAAGTAACAAGAAATCAAATAGAGGAAGCATGCCTGTAGCCAGACACCAGAATCCCTTACCAAAGAACAATGCAGCAGTTCCTGCATGCACTCTTCCTCCACGAGGTCATGTTAGACATACCAGGTAATTCTATTGAGGTCTGTAGTTATCTTGTGGGAAAGAGAACTCTAGGCTCGTTATAAAGGGAAGGGTTTTGTATGTGGGATTTTTTTATTTATTTTTGTCAGTGGCTGCAGCAGAGTGTAGAATTACCTGAATTGTCTTTCATTGTGTTCTTGATTAGATAATGTATCGTTTCTTTTTGTTTTGTTTTTTGTGCCAACTATATGGAACTCCCCAGAGTGACACCTGTACCTCCATACCCACCGATGCAGGCTATGCAAACACCACAGTTTCCACATGTGGTAGATAATCCTTACATGCAATCCAGGTAAACGAGATTTGATTATATTGTGCAGACAGGTCTTATACGTGACACTGCATTTGGCATGACAGGTTCACATTAATGCAGTTATAACGGCTCGTAAAGCATGTTAAGTAGAAATGTTGCCAAATGTACAGATTTTAATTTGTCTAATGTATAGATGATAGTTAATGCTCTTTCATATAAATCTGCTATGCTTACCGTGACCGATTACACTTTACTCAAAATCTAGCCTTATGCCATGCAGATTAAGGCTTTTACACTGCATTTATTGCATTTCTAAGAGTGGTGAGCCCCCCTTCCCATAGTCTTATGGTATAAAGACGTTGGGTCTAACTCAAATGATGATCTCCACCCTTCCAATCATTTTTTTTTTTTTTTAAATCTTTATATTCTAAAATATGATTCCTGTGATACTAAAAAGTATTTAAAATCTTGGGCCATAAGGGGGATGGGGAGTATCAGGCTAGCTGTGTTTTATGTTTGGCTGTTTTGGCCTAAACTTTGAAATGCACTTTACATTCTTAGCAGTGCACAGTTTGCACTAAAACTATGCACGAGAACAAAGAAATATGATTTATTTATTTGGGGCCTGGATCATTTTTGGTGAATATATACATAAAACTTGCTTATTAAATTATTTGATTATTTAGAAGCCAATATTATTTGTTGCTGCTCACTTATGTTCACAAAACTTGCTGTTCTCCAGCGTGTTATGTCCCTCTATATAAATATTGATGACCTATGGAAAAGTTTTTATTGTCTTTCTGGCCATAGCTGGAGACTTCCACCAGCAGGAAAAAAAAATTGGTCTTGCATGAACTGGTAACTTCCCTTTGTTCTTTTGGCGCCTTTCACTAGGCTCTTGACTGTTTTAATTTTAAAGGGACACTTCACAGCTCAGATGCTTAAAGGATTGCTATAGGGTCAGGAACACAAACATGTATTCCTGACTCTATAGTGTTAAAACCACCATCTGGTCCCCTCATGCCTCCATAAATATAGCTAAATGTTACCGTATTCAAGCCTGAAGCGGTAGATCTGCATGCTGTTTGACTCATGGAAAAAAAAAAAGCTGTCTGCTGACATAATCAGAAGTGGTAGCCTGATCCAATCACAATGCTTCCCTATAGGATTGGCTGAGACTGACAAATAGGCAGATCAGGGGCAGAGCCAGCATAATTCAAACACAGCCCTGGACAATTAGCATCTCCTCATAGAGATGATTTAAATCAATGAATCTCTATGAGGAAAGTTCAGTGTCTGCATGCAGAGGGAGGAGATACTGAATGTTTGGATGCATTTTGTCCATCTTAAATGTGGTTCTATTTAAGTTTCATTCAGTGGATCAGATTCCGAGGCTTTCCTTCTCTTAAATGGGATGTGGAGTTTCTTTCCAGATAGAGGGAGAGAGAAAGATGATATAGGAAATGAATTGCTTGTAATGTTTCTAAAAAAAAAAAACAAAAAAAAAAAACTGCATTCTACATATAGTGAGTAATGCTTCAGAAAAGTATGACCTTTTCTGAAGCATTACACAGAATGGGCATCGACCAGTGATGGGCTGAGCATTTCAGCTGATGCTCTCAGCCTATTGCCCATGCAAACTCTTCCACATGTGCAAGTCAAACTAGTTCTTGGTGGACTCCACTTTAAGTATTTAAAGAGTTCAAAAGGGGTTTTACTGTAATTCTAAGAAGGCAATTGTGGACTCCTTGCACCATAACCACTTCATTGACATGAAGTGGTGTTGGCTCCTGGATTGGTCCTTTAACCTATGTCTAGAAAGGAAAGTTAAAGTACCACTCCTGTCATAAAAGTAATTGGATTGACATGTAGTTTTACAGGGGGTTGTGTGAAGCTAATAAAGGGTTAAAGGTCTTAGTTTTTCAACTTTAAGGACCAAACTTCTGGAATAAAAGGGAATCATGACATGTCACACGTCATGTGTCCTCAAGGGGTTAAAGGGACACTATAGTCACCAGAACTACAGCTTATTGAATTTGTTCTGGTGAGTAGAATCACTACCTTCAGGCTTTTTGCTGTAAACACTGTCTTTTCAGAGAAAATGCAGTGTTTACATTACTGGCCACTCCTCAGATAGCTGTTAGAGATCCTTCCTGGGTCATGGCTGTCTAAAATGCATCCAAGCATTCAGTATCTCCTCCCTCTGCATGCAGACACTGAACTTTCCTCATAGAGTTTCATTGATTCAATTAATCTCTATGAGGAGATGCTGATTGGCCAGGACTGTGTTTGGAGGCAGATTAGGGGGCAGAGCCAGCACAATTCAGTCTAAGCCAATCCTATGGGGAAACATTGTGATTGGATCAGGCCACCACTTCTGATGATGTCAGCAGACCGCTATTCTGAGGCAAACGGCATGCAGAACTACAGCTTCAGGCTTGAATACACTTTTAACACTACAGGGTCAGGAATATGTTTGTTCCTTTAATATTAATATAGGGTTTTTTGTTTTTCTATTTTCTTTTTCACACAGCCAGCTATAGACTGTATAATCATACGCCTTGTGTTAACATCTACCTTCTTCTGCATCTTGTTATTGTAGAGGAGGTGGCAGACACAGTTACCCATATGGAAGACCTGGCTCACATAATTTTGGCAAAAGGAAACCTACCAGTACCGCCTCTGGGCCTGCTCAGAATCAGTCGGGACGCGGACATCCTTACAGACGGCACCCAGCACCTAACTGGCATAGACCTGTAAATTACTGATCATAACAGTTGACGTGTGAAGAAATCGTTCCTCCTTTTAATTAAATGCAACTTACTTTTACTTACAAACTTATTACACTTTTAGAAGAAGAAAAAAATCCTGTGGAGAACTGACTGGAAAGACTTTATAACTAATGGGAGTTTGGCTTACATGCTGTGTGCCAAACAGCCTAGCAAATCCAGTTGCTGCACATGTAAAGTTACATCTCGGAGGACCTGTCCACATAAGTGAGCTTATTGCCCGCATATGAACAGTGACATAAGAAAACATTTTTGGGGGTTTTGTTTTTTTACCCCCCTTTACATTTAGTTCAAATTCATGTTAAATGCTGCATATAAAAGTTGGCGATTTTTACTTGTCACCAAGTAATGCCTTGTTAGTTCCTTCCTATATCAGCTATTCACAGATGATTTTCTCTGGAACATGGCACTGCCAAAGTAAGAGTCCACTCAAGTTGCATTTGGGATCAGATTAAAGCATACTAAAGGTTGTTGGTGTTTTAATTGTATTATTTTAACTGTTAGAGTAAAATCTAGGTCACTTTAATGTCCTGTTATCATCTTAGCAATGTGATCTTAAAGCTCTTTTCCACCATTTTAGTACGTTTTTAAAGTTTCATGCAAGCTGATAGTAGTGTTAATTGGGGGGGATTAAAGGGCCCTTTAAAGCACCTTAGTCAGTACAGCCTATTGTAGTGGTTATGGTGTTAGTAGGCTGCTGACAGCATCCCTGGTTCTGTGTTAATTAATTTTAAGGGATTTGACTCAGTTGCTCAGTCAACCATAGATCAGCCCTTCACTTACCAAATTGCAACTGCTAAAGAAATATTATGGCTGGATGCTTTGGCTGACGTCATCAGCTCACACAATCCGCAAAATGTTAAGCTTTAAAATGTTTTGACACAGAACCAGGGACTGATGGCAGTAGCCTGCGGGCACCAAAACCAATATAATGGGCTGTAGTATTATGGTGCTTGGCCCTTAAATTGTTTAAGTGACTGCTTTCATAAGTACTTAGAAGGAATGTTGCTTCTTGGAGGTGAGCATAATTTGCAGTCAAATTTGACATACTGAAAACCTGTAGGAAAAAATATTTAATACCGGTAAAGAAAAAAGTACTTGTTTTGTATTACTTTAAAATAAATATATTTAGTTTTTTAATCCTATCCTTTTTATATTCAGTGCCTTTCCAAACAAAAAGGTTTGTTTACTCATACAGAAAAAAAAATCGAACAAAATTTACTTCTTGATTGTTCTTTCCCACATTAGTGATTGCTGTTCTGCTTATTGGATTATTTGCAACAATTGTGTGACAGGACTTGCTGGTTTAACAAATGTTCATAAATTTTTTTAAAGACACTTAATTTAACAGTTTAAACACCATCACAACTTAATCTAAATTAATCCAGTTTCTGAAATTTCCATTTGAGGATGTGGAGTGCCCCTAATTGGCTGATATTTGTCAGCTAATGCTCTCAGCCAATCAGTGTTTCCCCATTCTCAAAACTGGCTTGGAAAGAAACATACATACCCTATTTTTCTTCCCAAGCTGATTTTGTGAAATGAAGAGTCAGATTGGTTCAGAGCATCAGCTGACCTCTCTTTGCCCATCAGCAGCCGGATGCCGCCTGGGGGAGTTGAGATCAGTGCTGGAGGCTACTTTAGGGGTTATGGTAAGAGTGCATCCTGGACCTCCTGCACCAGGGCAACTTTATTTAGGTGATATTCTTATGGTGCCTGGAGTGTTCCTTTAACAAACATCTTATTTTTTCCAGAAAATGGATAACTTAAACTGACACCATATTCACCAGAGCAATTACAGCTTAATTGTATTTGCTCCGGTTGAGTATAATCCTTTCCTTCAGGCAATTTGCAGTAAACACTATGTTTTAATAAAAGAAAAGGCAGTGTTTACATTATAGCCTAGGGATTCCTCCAGTGGCTACTAGAGGTGCTTCCTTGGGCAGTGCTGCAGTGTGCAACACTTACATACAGAATCATTCAATGAGAAGGAGATGCTAACTGGCCAGGGCATGTCTGTGTTCCTGACCATATAGTGTTTCTTTCAGGTTAGAAGAAAAAAATAGAGGCATGGTAATTTAAAAAGAAAAAAAAATATTTGATAAAGGTTGAGTGTTTGCATTATACTTTTTTTTTTTTTTTTATAAAGACCCCAGCCAATTAATGACTAGCAGATCGACCCCCATCTAATGTATATCTGCAGAAGCCACATATAGTTTTGACTACATTAGAGAAGGATTGGTGTCCAGTAGGACCCAGGTAAGAGACAAACTCCTCCAAAACGGTTTACTCAGTTTGAAAGGTTACAATTTCTCTCATTGATATGTGTATTGTGTGAGATGATTCTCTCAGCCAATCCATGCCATCCATAGCATTTATTTGACAATAGCAATATTGTAAGTGAAGAGCAGAGTAATTACAGGGGAACGACACCAGGTTACTTCTAGCATCATAATCACTCTGGTGAACTTTATTATTTCATACAGAAAAAAAATATTACTCCAACCAGAAATCTTGTTGAGCCCAGGTACCCAAACTGCAACTCTAAAGCAACTTAACACAAAGTTCAATTAAAAAGTTGTCAGAGGATACAAACTATTTATTTTTTTATTTTATATATATTTTATTCTCTTGCCCCTTTAACCTTCGTGCTTTTCTGTGTAAAACCTTGATAAAGACAAGGGAAAGATTTGAAAAGTGAATTCACAGAACACACAAACTAAATAGTTTCGACCCTCCTGGGTCTTTACAAAGGTTTTGCACTAACAACGATTAAGGTTAGTTCTGTATATCCTGCTTTTTGATGTTGGGCGATATTAAGTGTGTGTATATACACACACTCTAACAAGCATGTTTGCAGGGACATTTCACAAGAGAATATACAATAATGAAAATCACAACATTGCAATGTGAGATATCCAGAGTAGAACTTCACTTTTTATATTCATAATGAATAGACTTAAACACATTGCTCAGGCATGTCTTGTGATATAGAGAAATGTTGAAGCAATACTAGGTGATAGACATGGTGAATATTAAATATGTATATGCCAGGGCAATGAAGGAAACAGGACAAAGCATGTCTGCATATACTGTATCCACTGGAATAATATCCACCATAAGATTTCTCCCTACCACCACATCACTCAAGACATAAGCAAGAGGAAAGAAATAAGGAACACAAAAAGAAAAAAAAGATGAAAACAAGCATACTATGCTGCTCAACAGACTGACTGAATAGCGTCTGCAACTGTGTCACAAGGGCTATGTGCATATGATGGGAGCAGATCTCCACTCAGCCGATCCCTGTAAGTGGCGGGAGTAGGGAGCAATCTGAAATGGTCAAGCTTCAGCATACAGTCTACTGCTGGGACAGGGATCACCCCACAGGCCAGGTAGGGAGACTGCAAATGGTAACAACAAACCAGGGAACTCAAGAGCTCCAAGCCTTTTACCTTGCCAGGAGGTGCAGAAGATCTGGAGCGTGAACGCCGTAAAAGCTGAGACAGGAATGTTGAGTTTGAGCTAAAACATATTGAAGATGTCATTGAGGCGGGATATGTTTTTTTTTAAGAGAAAACTTGGACTGACTCTGGAGGTGGACATGCCTCCTCCATGACCCTGTGGGAAGAGAAGCAGTGAGCAACGCTGAGGGAGCCCCAGTACTAGAAACAGAGTAAGTAAAAAGGGATTTAAAATGACTTTATGCCAAACCGGAGGGGGGATGCTGTGTAGAGCAGGTTTAAACACCTTATTCTTTAGTGTTACTTTAAAGGACCACTATAGTGCCCTGAGGGTGCCCCCACCCTCAGGGTCCCCCTCCCA